ATATATATATATATATATATATATAGAGAGAGAGAGAGAAATCTTAAGTTAGGCAGGTGTCAATACATGCATAACCCATATAATAGAACTTTAATTTAAAGGTGGCTAAGGCCATGCTTGGATGCATGTGCAAGCGCCACATAATGCATTCTCCTATGTGCACAAGATATAAAACCTTTTTTTAACTAACAGGGTTTGGCTATGCAAATACTTATCTGAAGGTCATACTCTCATTTCAACTATAAGCTCTTATATTTTTTCTCACTACTTCTAGCTATATTTTTTTGGACATACTCCTCTTATCGTTTTTTAGCTTTCCACTTAAAGTAACTCACATGCTCACAGCTACTAACAAATATTGTATTAGATTTAGTCACACATGACTAGCCCACCTAAGTCTATTCTCTCTCATACGATTTTGAAGTTAATATTATATCTATCCTCATTACTCAGTATACTCTCTTAACAAATGTTATATTAGGTCTTTGTCACACATGACCAGCCCACCTAAGTCTATTCTCTCTCATACTATTTGGAATTTAAAATTAGACCCGTCCTCATTACTCAGTACACTCTAGAAATGGGGAGAGCATTGGATGTTCCTACAAGAGAAAAATGTACACACTTGTGTGACCAAAAGATTGAGAACCAACAATTAATAGCAAACGATCCATTCGATGGATGATGAGATCTAAATTTTTTAATGATTTTAAATTGGTTTTTAGATTGTTCATTTAATTAAGGGTGTGGTTTGTATAGAGCCGATGTTCTAAACAATCAAATTAGAGCCCACCTTCAAATAGTGTTGAGAAATATGGTTTCAATACTAGAAATCTTTGACTCACCTTAAAATATATCTTCACCTTTAATTATAAAATTTAAAGCTTCAAAAATAGTGTAGATCGAACAGATCCATGAAAACTTGAATAACTTAAAAATTGATGGTCCAAAAATACGTTACCAGATGCACCATTTTCAAAACTTGAAATTCATTTTTTTCTTAAGTCCATGTATCTTGATATCGAGATGATCAATTTGAAGATATTTGATAATCAACACAACTAGTAAAAATTTTGAGGTAGGCTCTAATTTGATTGTTTAGAGCCTAGGCTCTATATAAACGTTTCCCTTTAATGAATCATATTGTTGAGATGTATACAAAAATAGTCTCCTAAGTAGGTGTTTTGCCTAAAAGATCAAGTGCATATTTTGATCCCACCGGAGCATGCTGTTTGGGCCCTAGGGCAAAGCAAGGGCATTCTCTTGAAAATTTCAGTAGTTTAAGACTATCATGCATAAAAGAAGGAAAAAGTTTATATAAGGGTGACACCCTAAATAATCAAATTAAGACAGCTCAAAAATTCACTAGAAGAGGTTGTTTCGATGTCAAAAATCTTCAAATTGCTCAACCTCAAAATGCATGGACATGAAAAGAATAAGAGATTTCAAGTCTTGAAAATAGTGCATTTTGTAATGTATTTTCGGACAATTAATATTCAAGATTTTCAAGTGTTCATAGATCTGCTTGATCTACAGTATTTTTGAAGTTTTAAATCTCATAATTACATATAAAAATAAATTTTCAGGTCATCACAAAGATTTACAATATTGAAACAACATCTTTCAACACTATTTGAAGGTGCACCTTACTTTGATTGTTTAGGGCCTCGGCCTTATACAAACCAAACCCATAAAGGAAAATTTTTTTGTTTTGAATATTTTGTAAGAAAATCTTATATCCAACCAAATGACAAGAGCCCCTTCTAGTCATCAAATACACACTAGACGCAAAAAAATGTGAATTCAAACTTCAAGTATGCTTAGCATCCTTTT